ATTTCATGTATAATTACAACAAAATTTCAAAACAAATGCTCGCCACCCTATTAAATACAAAAATGTCCATTAGATATAGACTACTTACCTGAATAAGACCATTCAGAAGAGGAGATTTTTCGATACTGTCTAACCTTGGGTTTTGACAAAGCGAAGGTACAGCTAAAGTGGGCGAGTCAAGTAGGTGGAACGAATCGGAAGATGTAATCATGCTTGCATGGGGTGAAAGCATAGATGCACCCATTTCGAGTTGATCTCGTAGAGGAGACGCCTTATGAACGGGACTACCAACCAAGTCGGTTGTGCTTCTTACATGTTCAGAAAGCTTAGGTAAGTAATAAGACACAGGAGAATAAATAGTCGGAGAACTCGAACCTTGGCGTACATACTTGCCTTGTATAGAAGGAAAAGTATCGCCTGAAAACTCAATAACATTACGATCTTCCATCTTCGCAGGAGTCTCCGCGCCGACTCCTGAGCTGCGCTTGCCAAGAATAGAAAGATCAAAGAAGTTACAGCCATCTATATCACTGTCAGGGCCATCTTTAAAGTCAATCTTCTCGTTTTCTAGATGTTCTTCAGGAGGTAGCTGGTAAGGGATAAGAGTGAATAGATTGTAATAAAGAATTCGCACGATCATTTCTATGCATAATTCATTTAAATAATACTATCTCAAAGTACAAAATGAACCTTATATTTGATTATGAAATTTCGTGCATTTGTATAAATAAGAGACTAAGCTTACATAATGATGAGAAAAATTCGTTATAGGCTCAAAATAGATTTAAAATATAAATGGAATTTTTAAAAAAGAAACGATACTACTGGCTAAATGTAATTAAATGCTTCTAAGGTCGTAATGCCGAATCAATGGCTCGTATACACTTTCCTACCCAATTTTCCCCCCCATTTGTTAACAAAGACATCAAGAAAAGCTAAAGCACCTCATCGAGCAGGGTGCATAGCTTCTGATTTCCATGCTTGCAGATATTAGGCTTTGCCTTCATAGATCATCTCCTTGAGTAAACCCATGTACCCTGAGAAAACTGCTGATGTCTATCTCCGGTCCCATGCTGCATCTCGAATGAATCGTATTCGTTTCGGGATAGAGGCAGCGAGGATAAATTCACCACCTCCGATCGTCGTAATAATCAGTAGAGTTGTCAACTCAGAATCGCCGCATTCACCCCTTTTGGCAAACATGAACAAATTGGAATAGAACTTCAAGATATCACCGCAGCAACCATGAGTTCTCATACTGCATAGAACGACTGCTTCGCACTCTAACCACATTGAAAAGTTTCTGAATTTTATAAACCAGATTGATGAAAGAATCAAATTCACAATGGAAATAGTGTGGTTACTCTTCCTTGGTAGTGAACTTAATGGCCCTAATGGGACACACAAGAGGAAATTGTTCATAAAGAAGTCATATGCCGGAATAATACACGAGTAGCAGTCCCATCACGACTGAAAGTTAACGATAGAAAAAATGAGGTGCATGATTTACAGAAATCTACGATCAACGGAAGTGGAATTCTGGGATGAAGAATTGGACAAATTGACTCGGATATGCCTCGGTAACAGATACCCAGAAGTAATACAAAGAAACATAGTGACCATGAAAAGCTGATGGCAGGACGGAGATTATGAAAGTACCGAGGATGAAGAAAGATTACAAAA